AAATCAATCAAAATTAAAGTAATGAATATTAGTACAGTAGAGAACCAATTATCCGGGATGCTCGGGACCATCACTATCCCGGATGTCTGAATTTCCCGGTTTTCTGGATCGACCATAAAGTGTCGTTAATCGATGTTTAATCGAACCCGAATTACAAGGAAAAAGTGTAATGCATCAAGTAAGNGTTTTGTTTTCAACAACTAATACTGGGGACATGAAAATGACTGTTTTTGTGAGAATGACCCATATATATATATAAATTACTTATCTTAAATTCTAACTAAATCAATCAAAATTAAAGTAACAGTAGAGAACCAATTATCCGGGATGCTCGGGACCATCACTATCCCGGATGTCTGAATTTCCCGGTTTTCTGGATCGACTTTAAAGTGTCGTTAATCGATGTTTTATCGAACCCGAATTACAAGAAAAAAGTGTAATGCATAAAGTAAGAGAAAAAAGAAAGGTACTCCTAACTTTAAAAAGAAAAAAAATGGTAGAAAAATAACATTTAAAAGAATAAAAAAAAATTACACGTTTAGACAAGAAAAACAAGATTAAAAAATACAAAATTCACGTATTTATTTTTTAAAAATAATTACAATTCCTAAATTAACTAATATGAACAAAACCAATGGTTAAATAACGCAATATGTTTCATACCTAATTATTCGGGGGAAACGATAAAATAAAAGGAAAACTTATTAATCTAAATAAAAACACTTGAAAATTATCGAACCAAAACGATAGTTAAAAAAGGCACTAGCATAAATATTGAAACCTGGAACAAGGCAAGATCAACGGAATTAAAAAAAAAAAAAACTAATGATAAAATTTATGAATAAAAAGAATGAATTTATTGAGTGCGAAATTTATAGTGAAAAGGAAAAAAAATTAAACGCAGTGGAATCAGAAAAACGAAACTGCAATCTGCTTCATAAAATAATCCTATGTTTAAATTAATAAACAATTGTCCTTTTATTTATTTATTTTTGTTGATAAAAGCACGATATTTAATTACAGCAGATGTGATTCCACATCACTAAAAACTTGCAAATGATACCGCACTTGAATTTATTCAGAAGAAAAAGATTTTATTTTTATTAATCGATGTCAAATAGATAAATATATTTTTTTCTTTCATCTTCTGTTCACTGATATGCATTTTTCCCGCCCCCCTCGTAAATTAAACAGAAAACGAAATCAGCATGCCACACCCTTGAGCTTGATTGTCAGCCTAAAGGAAAAAATAAAACATTCTTCCCTTCCCTGCCTTTAAGGTCACGGAGGAAATGACGTTTCTCTGGGTAAACGGGGGGAAAAGTTCTCCCCCTCCTTACATTTTCCTCTACTCAATTTCAAGGAAGAGTTCATTTCCGCTTTTTTTCATAATCGTTCTAGTTACAAATGGCGGGAAAATCGATCAAAATGTTTCCCGGTTATCTGGATACCGGATAAATGGTTCTCTAGTGTAGTAATAAATATACTCCCAAACTAGAGTTAAAGTTTAACGACAATGTTAAAATTAAATTGCTCTCAGGTATCTTGAAAATTTAAAAGTAACCAAATTTTAAATATATCTGTTTTCATGATACTTAAGCATCACTAACAAAAATTTTCAACATTAATATCTTGCTAAGTTTTATTAATGAACATAACATATCTGCCAACCCCCATTTTCATAAATTCTGAATATGTTTAATGAAGTTGCAGAATGAATTACACTGCAGTGGTTAAGAATCAAAATATAAATCAAGACTAACATTACTTCACAATATAATTATTTTATTTTAAAGCAAAACACAATACAAAAATAAACTTCACTTATTCTAAAGGCAATATATTCTTACCGTCATTGCTTACGATTATCATATAGATAATCTTTTGGTAAGATGCAAGTTAAAAACACATATTTGTTTTTAAGTAACAGAATTTTTATTCTTTAATATATAAAAAAAGAAAAGAAACAGTTGAACTATGTGCTTTTATTTTATTATTGTTTTTAATAATAACATATTTTGAGATTTTACCGCCATTTCTTACAGTTTTATTCCGTAATGCAAATTTTTGTTTACAATTATTGTTACAAGTATTACAGTTATCTTTACAAGTATTGTTAATGCATGTTATTGTTATATTTCCGAGCGTTAATCTAAGGAATCTTTCAATGTTTTTTTGAAGATTTCATAACAACAGTGATTATTGCTTATATATCACAATAAAAAGGGATAATTCACACAGGTATGTGCCTTTCTTCAAACTTCTACACAACAACCAATAAAAGGACTTCAAGCTACAAGAGATTTAAAGTGCACCTTACTGCAAATACACACCAATTGTTTTGTTTTATGTCAGGATCGAACTTACGGTCCTCAGTTTCCTATCAGAGTGTGTTATTTTCCATTTGCAGTGTCCTGCAGTACATCTCAAAACTGAATTATTCCTCTCTGGTAAATTAGCTCGCAAATCCAGCAGACGAAGTTAAAATTATAAGAGAGAAAAAAATAAAACACTAAATTGAAAAACATACATTAAAAACACTAAATTTAAAAATATTAAGCATTGAATAGTTATTGAAAACTTTGATTATTTAATTTGAAAATATCTTTAAGAAATTGTGTTATTCTTTATAATAAAATTCAATGGGTAGATATTCCTATCAATACCTGTGCCAAAAAAATCTCGGTATCACACACAAGAATCGAAAAAAGTAACAGAGGGAAAGTGATTAGCTGAAAAAGTTTAATTTATAACCATTCTCAAGTAAAAATTTTATTCTTTCTCTCTTTAAAAAAAATATATATATTTAAAAAAATATATAGTACAAAATCCGTAAGCTCTTTTTATTTGAAATGAACATTCGAGCACATACTGATACAAAAATATCTAAAATTCAACACTTTTAAATTTTTTTGAAGATAAAACACCAGGACGCTTAACTATCAAAATATTTCTATATATTGCATAAACTCATAGAGCCAATAGGAAATGTTTGCACTTTTTTTTCAAACTTCCTGAATAAAAAGTTGTAACTCTTTTTCAGCACTGTTTTCATTCAACGAAAACACTTTTTGATAAGATCATATTGTTGCTTATATTTTAATAAGTTGCTGTCATTTACAAATTAATATAAATAATTATGTATCATCACAAGCATGCAAATCAGTCTATATTCAAGAAATGAAAATAAAGATCTTTAACTCATTATTTTACAATATTTTAAACAATAAGTTTTAATGAAGAAACAATAGCGTCCGTCTAATGAATAAAATTTCAAACATTCTAAAATGTAATGGCTTTAGCATATAAAAAGCAGATTAATTCATAATTATTTTATCATGCCAAACTTGTTTACAGAATATTATTTTTCTTCTTTATCATTGTTCCAAAGAAATTTTATCAAATACGAATAGCCAAGTAAGCGATCAGATTCTGAACTAATTACAATGCTACTTGTTAGACAATGCGTTGTAACAGAAAATTCAACTAATACGCGAAAACTATTCATTATCAATAATGAACACAATCATAATATTTATTGACTTCATTAGATCTTAAATACCTGATCATTAAATCAATTCTTAAGTGTTATGATTAAGCGGTCAAGATTTTTAAGTACACTGAATGCTTCTACAACATCATCTTCTCTAGCACATCATGATTTGAAGTATTTTATATTACTTTTCTAGCTGATTTTTAACTGAAGAAAAACCACTACATATGATACTGCTTTAATATTTTATGTAACTATCATTGAAATTTAAAAAGTTTACTAAAAAATTACAAAATTACAATAACTCTTGAAGTTTGAAGTTCTGGCTATGAACCAAGAATAATATGGCGATGTAAACAATCGTGAAGAAGTTATAACTCAACAGTTGAAAAAGTTTTTCCAGTTTTATACCGTTCACGAACAGAATTTACTTCCACTAATATTTTCTTGCATTTTCTGGGATAAAATTGAATTGGCTAAAGATGATATTTTGAGTAATACTTAATTTTTTTCCTTTAAAAAAAAAAAAAAAATTACTGATAATATGGGATGCCCTTTCACAAAAAAAGTGATGCTTAACCAAAATTCATGAAGTAGATGATAATATTGAAAGTTCGAATTTCGAAATTTCAATTTTCTAGTAGAAACGAAATTTAAATTTTCTTGGTCAAAAGTAAACAAGAACTTGTCTTTCCCAAAACCTTTTTTTGGCATGTTGCGGACAAACTTTTCCTGGGCTAGCAATTTTCTACAATGAACTAACGTTTTATGATAAAATTCAAACTTGTTTATACTTAACTAAGGTTTAGGCCATATTTTTCGATAAAAGAATTTACTAACAAAATTTTTAATCTGGCCTACAATTTCCTTTTTTGTGTTAACATATAAAAGCGAAGGTCAAACTTGTAGTTTCTAGGTCATATACTAACTAAAACTTGATTCAGTCATGACTTTTTTGGAGGGTGGACTACAAAAAAATTCTCTATTCCGGAGTTCTTACTTTGAATAAAAACGAATTTTTTTAAATCAAATGTAAGCTTAAAATTTATTTGGCATAACTCTTCTTTGATGGATGATCTAATGAAATTTTTGATTGGGCTACTGATTTCGTATAGAGGCCTAAAAATCGTCAATGCTGTGCAAAAAAGTTTGATAGGCTAGCATAGTACTAACGTTTTTGTGTAATGCTTGAACTTTTAAAAGGAATATCTAACTTGTGGCTTTTAGATTATAAATTAGCTCTAATTGTTGAATTATATAATTTGTAATTTGTTTTAGTCTTAACTTCTTTTGGTGTTTAACTAATGAATATGCTTACTGGACTAACGTTTGGTAGAACAATTTAAATCTATGCTTTCTTGTTCGAAAGTTAGCACTAAAGAAACCCAATAATTAAGCATGAGGTCACAGGAAATGAATCAACATACCTAGGTGAAGGCTGAAACTGGACTGAATATTTTATTATAGTAAAGAGGTTATATTGAAGACAACACTGCTGCCATCTATGTCAGCATTTGTGATGCCATCTTTGTACAACAGTATAAACTAACTCTTTCAACACTCCCATTTTAGTTGACATTTTTGGGAATACTAAAAGAAAATCACAAATGTGCAGAAAAAATAAATCATATCAGTCCCATTAATTTTTCACAATATTCATGCCTAGTTCTATAAACAGTTTTTGTTAAATAGTCCACATTTATATTTATCATATTCACTCCCACTGGCCAAAGCAATCCTTCTCCTTTTTGGTGCGTTTTCTTCTTCACTTTGACTATTATCAGATGTAATTCTCCTCTTGTTAATTCACTATCTTCATCACTATCTGAAACAATTTTTCTGTTCTTGCTTGGCCTGTCTTCATCACTCTGTCTGCCATCACTTCCACTATCAGAAGCAACTTTCCTCTTTTTAGGCCCACTGTCTTCATCACTTTGAGTAATATCACTAGCACTTGCTTTCCTTTTTCTTTTCGACTTTTCTTTTCCACTGTCAGACTCCTCACTTGATGAAATAGTTGCTTTAGAAACGATTATACTCCTTTTCTTGGATTCTCTACCTTTCTTACGTTTTCGTCTTTTACCACCTTCTCCTTCATCATCAAGTTTCACAATCATCTCGTGGCACACGTCAGAGCCTGAAGCCTTTGCTTCTTCATCTGATTGTTCTTTATTAGAATATTCATCATCTGATTGTGCCTTATTGGAACCACCTTCATTGTCAGATTGGGTTTGATTTAGGTTAATGGACCCTTCTGATCTATTGCATTCTATTTTAATCCCTAAACAATACTTTAAATCTTTCATTTCAGATCTTTTACTTAGTTGCTTTTTTGCTAAATTTTTAAGCCTTACTGAGTTGCTAAAAATTAATATATAATCTGCATAAATACCTACAATTACAAGTTCTTTATCATTTAGTTTAATATACACACAACTATCAAAATAACTTTGCCTAAATCCCATTTCAACTAAGCTTTCTTCTAATGTCAGATACCAAAGCCTGTCACTTTTCTTTAAGCCATCTAGAGCTTTATTAAGAACTTTCCCATTTAAATTTTGTTCGTAATACTCACTAAACCCATCTGGAATTTTCATGTATATTTCTTCATTTAGTGTCCCTTGAACAAAAGCCATAACAGCATCCATTTGATCGATTTCCCAATCATAAATAGCTGCATAAGCCAACAAAACTCTTAGTGTTACATAATGAACTACTGGGGAAAACGTTTCTGTACAATTTATTCCTTCGATCAGGGAAAAACCTTTAGCTACTAAACGGGTTTTGTACCTTTCAATATCTCCATTCACATCAATAGTATTAGGTTCAGAAAGAAGTTCATTTATTGCCAGTAAAGCATCGGCAAAGCAAATAGGATCTAAGTTTGGCGTTTGCAAATCTGGCATACCATTGGTATCAAAATTTTGATAACTAACAGGAAGTTTAACTGTTCTTCCTATAGGTGTCAATTTCGGCATGTCATTATCTACGGTTATATTATTACTCTCATCATTATTTACAAAATCGCCTCTATTTAAGCCATTAATGTCATCCTGACCTGCATTAATATCATTTTGGAAATTTAATTCATTATCACCCCTGCTAACATTATCATCATTTTGGAGTTTATCTGATGTGTTGTCAAAATCAACAATGCTCCCACTGAATAAAGAGTCATCACTGAACTCTGGTGAACTTTTGTCACTGTTATTGTCATGATACATATCATGTTCCAAAAAATGCACATCTCTGGCTACAACAATACTATAATTAGTTGGATCAATTAGACGATAGCCCTTCCTATCCTTACAATACCCAACAAACATTAACTCTCTAGCTTTCATATCCCATTTTAAACGCTTCTGTTTGGGAATATGAACAAAAGCCCGACACCCAAACACCCTTAAGTATTTCAAGTTTGGCTTTTCACCACTCCATTTCTCAAAAGGTGTCATGTCTGGAACCGCAATGGTTGGAGATATATTTTTACAATGAGCTGCTGTTTCAACTGCTTCAGCCCAATATTCCTGGCCAAGGTGGGCATCCACCAACATAGACCGAGCTCGCTCAACGAGTGTTCTGTTGTTGCGTTCTGCAACCCCCATTTGCTCCGGTGTATAAGGGATAGACTTTTGATGCTGAATCCCTTTGGAAGCTAGAAAACTATCCATCTCATTATTAACATACTCCGTCCCATTATCAGAGCGTAAAACCTTAATAGGTTTGCCAGTTTGTCGTTCTACATATGCCTGAAAGTCTTTGAATTTTCCAAGAACTTCAAATTTATTCTTTATAAAGTAAACAAAAGTCATTCGTGACAAATCATCTATGAAACTTATAAAGTACCGAGAACCGCCTATTGATAAAACACTCATTGGTCCACAGAGGTCACTATGCACTAAGCCTAACAATTCTTTTGCTCGTTTAGCCTTACCCTTGGGAAATGGTTGTTTATGCATTTTACCTTTAATGCATGGTATACAATCATTAATTTTCCCATTAAAAGAGAAACCCTCAACCATATCTTGCAATCTAACCATCCCTCCTTCACTTAAATGACCTATTTTCTTATGCAATATTTCATTTGATGAGTTTTGAGCAGTAATTAAAGCCATATCATTATGAATATCTAAAGAATATAATCTATCGCTTACACCTGTTCCACTAGCTACTAAATTATCACCCTTATGAACAAAACATCTTTCCCCTGTAAAGGTAGTAACCATCCCAAAAGTTTTGTTTAAATACTTAATAGATAGCAAGTTAGCAGTTAGTTTTGGAACATGCAATACATTATTAAAAGTTACTTTTGCTTTCTCCCCATTTCTAGATAAAAGAAAACTAACACTCCCTTCCCCCTCAACTTCTATAACAGAGCTGCCTGTTTTAATTTGACTAATACTTGCAGTTTGATAATCTGTTATCAATTCTTTATATGGGGTCATATGGAACGAAGCACAAGAATCCATGTACCAAACATTAGGATTTGGATTAGAATTTGCAACATAGATACCTGCTGCATAAGCTTCTTCCTTCATAGGAGTCTTACTAGAAGTAGGCTTTACATTACCCTTTTTGTTAAATTTATCATACGCATTTTTCTGGCGTGGGGGTCTTTGACAATCTATACTTTTATGACCAAACAAATTACATTTGAAGCATTTCCCCTTAAACTTATTCCTGCCTTTAAACTTCTCATTAAGGAAAGCTTGATCTAAATTCCCATCAGAATTAGGTTTATCATCCTTGGCCATTAATCTAGTTTTAACGTTATCAACAGTTATCTCTTCCCCACAATTTTTCAAAGCCATAATAAGGGGTTCAAATCTATCAGGTAAGTTAGCTAAAATTATTCCAACTATTAATTCCTCATCTGCCTTAACTCCTGTTGATTTTAATTGCTGATATGCTGAAATTACTTTATGAAGGTAATCACACATGTCTTTACAATCTGTGTACTTAGTATTAACCAATTCTTTAATTACAGACACTTTTCTAGTTATTCCTTTATCATCATAAGTTTTTGCTAATACTTCCCAGGCATCTTTGCCACTAGATAAGTCCCTCAAATCATTAAAAATTGTTTCACTAACCCCTTCAACTATGTATGACAAAGCTTTGGCATCTAAAGCTGCATCTTCCTTTTTTCCTTCAACATAATCCCATAAATCTCTTTTAATTAAGTGCATTCTCATGGCAAACTTCCAATCAGCATAATTTGCCCGCTCAGTTAATTTTTTATGGCTAAAAGAACCTTCTCCCCCTGGCATGATTATTTTTCTTTGTTAACTTGAAATTAAACTATCAAAAAATATAACTACTATAAAATAATAAATTTTCTATTAAAACATAGTTAATTTAAATTAGTTACTAAGTTTAGAAAAGAAAAAACAACATTTATTTAAGTGTTAAGCATTTAAGCCTAACCATGTGTTAACACATGCTACTATAATTTATCTATCTTTAATTCTAAAATTTATCAAAAAATTTAAAAATAAATATATTAAACTTAATAAATGTTAGCTATAAATTTTTTGGACCATCCTGGGCCCATAACCTAAAGACTTAACCCAATAATTAAGCATGAGGTCACAAGAAATGAATCAACATACCTAGATGAAGGCTGAAACTGGACTGAATATTTTATTATAGTAAAGAGGTTATATTAAAGACAACACTGCTGCCATCTATGTCAGCATTTGTGATGCCATCTATGTACAACAATATACACTAACTCTTTCAACAAGCACCCATGCTCTTTAGAACACAATAACACAATATGCTCTTTAAAAATAAGAAAAATGTGATTTTAAGAAAATTTCAAGCTAACAATTTTCTACTATGGACTACGTGTGTAAAAAAAATTCGTTGGGTTTTTAGGTCAAACGGTGTTTAAAACTTGATTTAGCTCTAGTTTTATTTAGTTTGAAGGGTCAACACTAGGACTGGGCTATAAATCGATATATCGAGACATATTGATTTAACGCATATATCGGCAAGACGATACAGCGACTTTCATTCAAGACGATGCATCAGAAATCTGATTTAAGCCGTCAAGTAAAGACAATGAGAGCAGAACGATATAGTGATATAAGACACGCAAGGATATAAGATAACGATATAAGACTCTTCTCTCACGTTCCGATGTCGACTCGCGCTGTGGAAGATAATGTTCGTTTCGTTATGTTGAAATGGCCTTGATTGGTGAGCTGTAGAATCAGAATCGGAGTTTTGAGAACACATACCGTTATATCGCATGTTCCTTTTTGCACCTCTCAGCTTTTTTTTTTCTTTGTCGCGACTTTTCCGGTGGATTATTTTCAGTGGGACTAACTTCGTGATCGCCGATGTTACGTTGTTCTGAAGGCAATCTATTATTGAAAAGAATACATAAAGAAGAGTTTTTTCATTAATTAGATAAGTTTCTTTTTTAAAAAAACTTCTTATTTTTAAATGTGAAAATTATCGGCAATCTAATTTAGGCGCTCATAAAGAATTGAATTTGTTAGGTTATTTTTTTACTTTCTTTTAATTTATTAAAAACTTTTTGGATGAAACTTCTAATAATTTAATGAGTTTTTATTACTGATTTTAAATTTATAAATCTTGTTGTTTTTATTTTTAGAAATAAAGTTAAAACAAAATTTATTTTTGTCATTTGGATTTGGACAT